ATTGCATCACCCACTTTTAACATCAACAAAACAAATACCATGGAGCAATCCATCTCAAACTTGACACTTGCTGATATATCAAATGTTTTACTCGACACATGCCAGCATGAAACCTGCCTGTTGCAGTTGTTGTGCCTGACACATGCCCGTACAAGGCGTGCCTTCCGCATCTGTTGCACGCAAATCGTGACCGTTGACATGTACGTGCATACATGCGCAGTGTTGTATTTGATATTATTTCAGTTTGCAACAACCACAGCCGCATAAAATGTCCTTCCACGCCTCAATTTGCCATGTTGTAAAGGGTATTGTCAAAGGGGGTGGAGTGTTGGGGAGTTGAAAATACGAGGATACTACGCCCTTTGAAGCCCTGAACAACTTTCCAGAAACGTGCCGCGTGATGTGCCTTGTGCGCAACCTCAGCCAAGTCACGTTGTAGAAGTTGGCACGATTTAGGCCAGTTTTGGGTTCCTTTATGTCTCGGAGGTCACATTGTTTTGTTTTGTGTGTGTGTTTGCAGCTTTCTGGGGTCGTCGTGAGCGTGCACGACATGGCCCAAGCGGCAACTTGATGATAATGTTTGCAGGCGGTGGTGCGGAGCTCGATTTGCTCGGGATTGTCATGTTATTGTCGTTTGGATGCCAACAATTCCAACATTTGGCAATTTGAGTTGTGGGATTGAAGCAGGCTCGGGTGATAGACCCCGCATGAGGTTGCAACGATGTATGGCAAGTTTTCACATGAGGTTACAAACTGCAACCACACATCACACAAGATTCATTCAGCGTTTTGTGTACGTTTTCCATTGGAGTATGTCATGCAGATGGGGTCCGCTGCTCAGTGCATGTTGTCACATGTGGCAGGGATGAAAGGTGACAGTCGTTGATGTTTGTTCATGATGGTTACTCCCGTTATGTTTGCAGCGCTTCTTTCAATGCCGTGTTTGCAATGGTTCCCTTGCTGGCATGGTAAAGTCGCAATTGTTGTGCTTTGTCCAGGTACTTCAACAGCCTACTGCGAAGTAGTTTTGCTATGACTGACATCAAGGCTTGGATGCAGGTGTTAGGGAGGACCACACGTTGGTGTGACAGGTTTCTAGTAGGCAGCACCACCCTTTGCGCTGGATTCGAAGTGCTGTTGGCCATTGTGTTTTGCAGTGTTGCGTCCTTTGACATGATGCTGTCAGCGATGTTATTGGAAGCAGGTGCAGCAACCCTCCAAAAACAGCATTCCGGTCGACATCACAGTGCTCATTAAGAAGGCCTTGTTGTTTCGCATGAATTTTCGACAGTGAACGTTTTCGATCTTGATGCTGGGAGAAAATGTCTTCAGCAGAAAACTTCATCCATCAGATGTTTCAAGATGGCTTGCCGTCTGGCGTCTGCACCTTTTGGCAACTGGATGTGATAGCATGCAGCTACACCGAAGCTAGCGACCTTCAGCATTGTGGCTATCTGAATGCGACAGTGAGTAAGAATAATGCCATATGATGATAATGCTGTGGTGTAAGCATGATGAACCAGGCCTCTGCAGTTTCTGAACCCTGAGCCAGATAGAACTGTTTCCTTATTGATCCTCATCTCGCAGGTCTCCTAGAACTACAATTGTTGAAATGCTTTGAAGGTAAGTGAATGTACATAGTTTTTGTTGTAGGGCCCCGACCTCAAAATCAAAAATCCTGCATTGAGATCCGCGGTGATCCGCGTCCTAAATTCTCAGCCGTTTTCACCGCACTTGACGCAAGCTAAAGTACGAGAAGAAGCAAGGGCGAAACCTCGGACATTTCGGATGTTGAGATCATCTTGAGTCCGGAGTGAAAAGCGTTGAAGACTGAAATCTTCTGGAATCCTCGTGAATTGCCTGGTCTCGTGGCAGAACCAGATGTTCAGGATGGGCCTCTATTGATGACTCTTGCTCGTGCACCGGTACAGAACAACTCGTACATGCATTGCGATCGGTGAAATGTTCAACGTACGCATGTTGATGCAAGAGGAGAATCAAGATTTAGAAAGAGGAGCATCAATTTTTAGAAAAAGGTACTCCCTAAAGACTTCTCGTCCACAACTTGTTTGGAATGCAGTGATCGGCACGACTATGTGGACAGCGATATTGGGGGGACGAGAAGGGGGAGGACCAATGGTGGATTGCGAGCAGGGGGGAGGAGGACCGATGGCGGAGGGCCAGTGATGGAGAGCGATATTGCAGGGAGGAGCACGGGTAGAGGGGCAATGACGGAGAGCCATGTCGAGGCTTTGCACGCATGGGAGTTTCGATAGGGCTCAAACAAGGGGCTCGCACGTGAATTTTGGATACTCATCACCACCAGCACTTCATGACTTGGAAGGTCAGATTTCAGGCAAGCAGTCCCACACTGAATGTGGTGTGACTTGGCAATTAAAGGCACCACTGTCTGCTCCCGGCGGCCAAGCTTCTGTGGCGGCGGCGCCACCTCCAGGCAAATGTCTGGCCTCAACAGTAAGGATTTTGGTCGTCATGCTTGTTCTCTGTATTGTCTTGTGGCGGTCATCTTATCATATCGTTGTGAGGCATAGTACATTCTGGGTTGTGTTACTTTCTCACAGCCTTTCTTGACAAAAAGGCCTCAGACCAGGAGTTGTCACTGACATGTGGAGAAGGGAGCTCATCTTGATATTCTGGTAGCCGTTCTAGCGAGTTTGTTGGACTGATTGTGCCCACATGGATGATTCTGAGCATTGTGTTTTGAGCCAGTTGACTGCCAAGCTCAGATTGTCGGGAATTGCATCCTGACTCGTTGAAGTCATTTCAAGCTCATTTACGTTGGAAATTTGAACATGATTCAGTCTCAGGCTCATCCAGTCTGCGGGAAGTCTCAAGAAAAGTGGAGGATCTCTCGGGATTCCTGGCCACATTTTGCATAGAGAACATGAGGCTCATCTCCGCCGATGCTAGCCCCGGCTGCACCGATGCCAGCACCAAAGACCCAGGCACCACATTTAGAGAGATTGCATTGCACCTGCCCGCTATGCTTCCAGTAGAGCTGTGCTAGACTTTGCTGGATGGATGGTAACTGGAACAGCTTTTGGCTACTTTTAAGCAGAGACGCCAGAAGGTCTAAGAAGCTCAGGCACTTTCAAGATGCTTTGAACAATGGCTGAACTGCTGGCCAGGCCATGGCGCCCTTGCCAATGCCCTGTAGCTTACTGCATGGATCTGAGAACCTTTGGAGCAGCTGTATGGATTGTTCGAATCGTGAAGGCAATATGGCCTGCTTTGCGGTGGGTCCTGCGAATTATCTGTTGACGGAAGTGCCGTCAAAGGCCTGTTCAAGCTGGCGCCACGAAACAGAGTCAAACACACAGCATCTTGGTTGCAGCTGTATCTTTTCACTTTCCTTTCCCAGCAGGAGTGTGGGCCGGCCGCTCAGCGCCCCTCCACAACACGCTCCCAACAGCTGGAAAAACAGATTAATTGCAGAGCCTGCGCTCATCATGCAAAAGGCTTGAAAGTCTTTCAACCGTTGTTAACTGTGACTTTCTCACTGAGATTGGATTCCTGATCGTTTGTTCATACTGCGTGGCGTCAACTGGATTGTGGACATACTCAAGGCAGGGATGCACCGTAACGTGGCTGACAGCGCTGCTTTATGTCCTTCATCATAATTGCCGCAATGGTGTTTGGTGTTATTGTTGTTAGGTCTGCTGCTGCTGTTGCTGCTGCTCCTCCTACTGCTGCTACCAGCACTGCTGCTGCTGCTTCTGCTGCCACACCTTCTTTTACCACTACATGAAATAGCAATGGAGGCAGTAGTAGTAGAAGTAAATCCCAATAATTTGGTATTCCTGGTACCAGCACTCGTATTTGTGCTAGCAGTACGGCTACTTCGACTTATTTCTATTACCAGCGCCGCCGCCACCCCCACCATTTTTAGTCTTCTGAAATGCCAGTTGGTCTAAAGGTCGTTTAAGTGCATGCAGCTGAGGCCAATGTTCGCTGCGATCAGCGCAGGCAGTGATGCTAGGAATGTGTTGCGCCATGGGTTCCACAGGATGGGACACCATACGCGTCCTAGACGTTTTTGGTGTTGCTGCTAGTGCGCGTTCGCGTTACCTTGTAGCATGCGCGACAATTCGCAGGGAGCTTGCAGGAGGACTGCCGCATCAGGAAGGGGCGGCGGAGCATAGCATGTAGACCTGCAGGAACCAGCCAGGAACGGCACTGGGCCATGCTGCGAGAGTGCCATTAGAGAACCTGGAGTCGCCAAATGGCAACTCTTGCTGCTCTTGTTAAGATATCTTTGCGAGAAATGTTTCCGAACTCTTTAGGCTTCAATGTCAGGGCCCTAATTACTAATATATTGGGAGTTGTTTGCCTGCAGCCTTTGTCGGACAGCCCGCATGTTGCAACATGTTCAGTTTTTACGCGCTGGATGTTGGCTTGGAGGGATCAAAGTTTGGCCACGCAGAATGTGCTACTTTGATTCTTGATCTGAACAGAGTCGCCTCAGCGTTGCCAGGGCACCAGGTTCCTGTGAGTTGGGGCTGCAAGTCGTTCAGCCCTTTGAGGAGGCCGGGAGCTTCTGATCATCTTCATCACTTGCAGTTCCTGGTGTCTGCCCTAACTTCTTCTGTATGTTTGTGATAGTTAGAGTTTTGAAGCTGGCACGGATGTCGAAGACGAGGGGCTGCAATTCTGGTTTCAGTCCGCAGTAGGCTTTCCAAGCTCTGCAGGATTTGCAGCCGAACCGGGCAGCACGAGATCTGCAAAGTTCACAGGAAAAGGGTAACTCTTGTGCCAATGGAAGCTTGTGTGCCAATGCAGCAGCAGATCGTCATCAGAAAGCTGTTTCCCAAAGGTTCACAGCCTTTGCAGTGTGATACGCTTGTGCAACAGCTTTTTGTTAGTCTTCTGCATCGCCCCCGCAGAATCCGAAGGCAGATAAGAAAAGTCAATCACATGCAGCACACACCAGTGCACAGGAGCATTCACCAGGTTCCGACTTCGAGGTGTGTGCAGCACCCATGGGGATTCATGGCTTGCTGCCTTTCTTGAAGCCTTATGTCAAGAAGGTGAACATCGAAGAGTTCCGTGGGAAAACAGTTGGTGTGGATGCAATGTGTTGGATGCACAAGGGGGCTTTTGCTTGCTCACGGGAGCTTGTCGAAGGTGAAGACACCGACAAGTTTGTTCGCTTTTTCCTGAAGATGTGCGAGGTCCTGCGCTGTACCCGCATGAAGCCCATCATAGTGTTCGACGGGGACAAGCTGCCTGCCAAGGCGAAGGAAGATCAGGCACGAGGAAAAGTCCGTGAGCAGGCGCGCCTCGAAGCTTTGGAGCTCATGGAGCGCCAAAGGTCTGGCCACGAGGTCAACGAGAAAGAAATCGCTTCAAAGTGCGAGAGTGCCATCAAGGTCACCGCCTCAATGATATCAAGGCTGCAGAGTGCCTTGAAAGAGTTGTCCATTGACTTCATGATTGCGCCATATGAAGCTGATGCTCAGCTTGCTTATATGTGCAGGATGGGATGGATTGACGTTGCCATTTCTGAAGATAGCGATTTGCTTGCCTACGGCTGCCCAAGCACCCTGTTCAAGATGGACAAGTGGGGCAACGGGGACTACATAGCCTTACCATGCCTTCAAGTTGATGCTGCAGTACAGGTTGGTGCTGGTGAAAAGCAACAGCTGGCCGACAAGGAAAACACTCCTCCAGGTCAGATGGATGAAGGCAATGCAGGAAAGCCAAAAAGCAAGCAGAAGCAACGGATGAAGCCTACCAAAAGTAGGAAGGCATCCCAAAACGGCTCCAAGCCCAGCAAGCCTGTATGTGCGCCAGAGATGCTTGCAGGCGATGCTGCTGAGACACAGGAAGCTCCCGGTGATGCAACGAAGGAGGTAGGCAGTTCAAAAGTAAGGCGCGCGAGGAAGGCAAAAGCGAAACCTGATAAGGTCGCAAAGGCCAAGGATGTGAAGTCTTCGCTGGATTGCTGGTCGGCGGAGCAGTTTGCTGAGTTCTGTGTCTTCTGTGGAACGGATTATAAGGAGCCCGAGATCCACATCAAGAACTTTGGTATCAAGACTGCTTTTCAGTTCATGCAGAAGTACAGCAATGCCAGTGACCTCTTGCGATGGATGGTCAGCGACAAGGGGTTCCGCGAACGCCTGCCATGCGCGGCAGAAGAGTACATTCCACGCTATACATCAGTGGTGTGTGTCTTTTGGCATCACCTGGTGTTTAACCCTAGAAGTGGCGAATGTACTTCAATTTCAACAGCATTTCCTCTGACGGAATCTCGAAGACACTGCCCAGGCCTGGATCCTGCAACAGTTTGCGGGATAGTCTTCCCAAAGCAGGAAGCGCTACGGGTGGCAAGAGGCGAGTTGGATCCTCGCACCAGACTTCCCAAAACGCTCGAGCCCCTGACCCCGGCAGAACGTCGTGCCATTGATGGTATGCTTGACATCAAGCGGCGTGAGCTGGATGAAAAGAGGCAGCAGGACATGCAGGAGCAGGCAGACAAGAGGCGTGCTGAAGCGGAAGCCCTGAGGGCCACCCAAGCAGAGGTGCCGCCAACTTGTGATACCGGTGAAGCCTTGCCTGATGAGCCAACTCCATCCGTAGAAGCTAGAGAAATCAAATTGCTACCGGGAGACGTCCGGAGGCTGATGCAGTTCCATGAGCTGCGGAATGATGAAAGCGAAGAGATGCGCCAATCAGGAACGGCATCCAATCAAGTTGCAGACACAGGCACATCCAAAGCTAGCAACCCTTTCTTGCGAAAACGTACGCCGCAGAGCATGGGTGGTATGGCAGTCCCTGGGGCAAAGGTTGGAAGCCAGCGACCTGCAATACGCGGCCTGGCCGCACGCAAGGAAGTTGCAGAGCCTTTGGGTGACGCTGGGACATTCAAGAAGCCAGAGTACCACCCCAGAGGGGGTGGTGCGGCAAACCTTGCAGTGGAAGCCGTGTTGGCCCAGCGAGGGCTGCTCGGACTGAAGCTTGATGAGGACAAGGACAAGTCCAAGTTGAAGTATTTCTTTCCGCATGGTGGCAAGACCAGGGAGGCCCACAGCAAAAGCCCGGATGTACCCAAAGTCGACACCTTGTCTTCCTGGAACTCTCGTCCGTGGGAGGTGGAACCTGAAGCCCCGGCAGCTGCTCCACGAGAAAATGTCCTGTCCATGAGGAAGCGGAAGACCATGGCTTGTTTTCGATCCCGAACGTAGCAGCCAGTACTCTACATAGAGACTAGATATATCGCTGTTCGTGCCAGTTTCCAGAGCACGCTAACATACAGTGTTCTTCTGTACAGCGTAGAGCGGGTGCTACAAGCACTTGAAGGATGTTTTTTTGGGTGGGGTTCATCAGCGTCAAGCTGTGCGACATGCCGGGGAAAGCATGCGAGCGCAAAAGAAGCAATCCAAAGTAGCTAAGCTTCATATTGTGTTCCAGGACTGCTTCGGCCGTGCTGAGCGCTGGATGCCCAAGCCGCACTAGCACTAGCACAGAATCCAAAATTGATTTCCGCAGCTGCCCGCAGATATGGCTCCAAAGTGACATGCGTGCTAAGGGTCAAGGACGACTGTCAAACGCTTCCTATCGGCGGCTTGATTTTCTGTGGTGCTGGGAAACCGTTGGATTCTTAGCCTCATGTTTTGCTCGTGAGCTTGCTGCGAAACACCAGAAGTCTCGGCTTCTGTGATAATTGGGTCATTGGCCACTTGCAGGGCAAGTTGCTTGAGCAGCAGCGCCTAGACATGCAAATGAATGCCTAGGTGCAGGTACTTGCTGTCTTTGTGAACTTCCTCTGCGCTCTGAAATTTCGCATTTAGACCCATGAGGGTGAGCTGCTTCACCAGCTTGCAGACGCGTTCTCAAGATTCTGTGAGCCACAGAAGGCTGCTGAACCTTGTGTTGAGGACTTTGGGGTGAGGCAGGACTTGACGGACTTTTCAGGCAAGTGGTAAAGTGCTCTGATGGCAGATGTCCATAATCTCCCAATCTGCATTATCTGGCCACTGTATTCTCAGCTTCGCAAGGCCTACATGTTCTAGATTTGGCTACTCTGCAAAGGTCCGGATTGCCGAAGAAGCAGGAAGGGCAAGGCCAGCACTTTCACGCATCTTCTTTGTTGTGGTGCATGCAAATGACTCGCTGCGCCCCATTCGTGACTAATCACGGGTAGTGCTGGCACAGGAGCCAGAGAACAATGATGTTTGCATGTTTGTGGCTAATTGGCAAGCCATTTGGCTGTAGTCCTACTGAAACGTCCTACACAGCCCCGCTTGGTGCCTCAAGCATGGCGCTAGCCCCCTTGCTGGTGCTGTTGACCGGCATGCGGCACTTAGTGCTTGCGGACGAGGCACAGCTGCCACACGAGGTCTTAGAGAAC